AGAGAGGGTTACCGTAACAACTAGTGATACGTCATGATGATGATATTATTCTGCTTTGATGATGAAGTTTTGGCTGAAACATTAGATGAGTTAAGTAACTTTTGGGGAAAAAAAGGAAGGTTTTTTTAGTGATGCCAACACAGAGTCAGGTATCTCAACTCCTGTTGGATGGAACAATATCAAATCTGACACATACATTCATGGTTTCTACTGGCTGATCCACCCACCTTTCATCTGGTGCAACCAACAGGTCTTCATTTTACTTGATAAGAAAGCAGCTCTGTGAGGCTGCACTTCAGTAAATGCTAACATGCTAACATGCTAATGTGTTTAGCATGTCTATACAAAGTAGAAGTTGAGATATTTCAGTCTGGAACAATGTGGTGCACCATCCAATGGACATCACCATCCAAAGAGCCAAGTCACTGTTAATAGGCTGCGAGCAGTTTTACCTAGCTTTTCTGCTGTTTGCTTTGTGCAGGGCCCTCTGGTGCAGCTCCACCAGATGGCCCAGCTGTAGAGTGAACAGCATTTTTGAACAGAGTCCTAAATAAAAATTATAAAAATTTAAGGATGATCCTGTTCTTTATAAGAGCATGACCCACAGAGTTTACAAAAAGAGAAACTAGACATCTCTCAAATCCTCTGGCCAATATAAACAGAAATGTAATATTAAATGGATAATAATTTATACTGAACAATAAAGATGAGTTTCTAACCACCCTCTTCCACCTGTGCTTTCCAGCCTCTGCCTTCTCTGTTACAAGCCCTACAGTGGAGGACGGCCCCCTGGTGCAGCTCACCCACACAGCCCACCGGCGGGAGAAACGCTGCTCTTGCGAGAACCAGAAAGACAAAGAGTGCATTTTTTTCTGCCACATTGGCATCGTCTGGGTCAACACTCCAAGGTGAGTTTACTGTCAGCAAGAGAGGAATATTAAACATTTAAAGGGTTTGTTTCCACAGTAACGTAACTCTGGAGCATTGTGCTAATTTTTACAGTGTTAGGATGTGCTAATAAAACTAAATAAAGATAAGAGGCGATCAATAATCTTTCCAAAACCTCAGAGGGATGTACAACGTTTTCCCTGCTGCAGTAGCTGGGAGGTTTCTGAGGGAGGATGAGAGACTTCACGCACAGCAGCTGCAGTCCAAAACTAAGATAAACTTTCACTGTTTTGCCAGGTCAGTGGTTTTTAGGACAGAAAATAATAGGCTCATTGAAAGCAGAGTCAACCATCCGTATCAGAAAGCACAGTTCAGATATCCATGTTCTTGCCCATACAAATGTAATGTTGAATTTCCAGATATGAATTATATACACATATAAAATAAGAATGCATATTTCAATATATATAAATTTGTTCCAATTTATAATAGGCTTTATACGTAATTTTACATATATGTCTAGTCCCTACAAATATTTATGTTTATGTATGTATGTTTATGTTGTAGACATACACATATACATAGATATATATCCATCCCAAAGCCTGTCAATATATGTTAATATTATATGAAGTAGGGTCCAAAAGCCTGAGACCACTGTCCTAGAACGGGAAGATAGACATGTAATATATAACATATAAGCATATAGAATTTTTATATGTTTGTTTTTTTTTTTTATATAAACTTGCATATGTAAATGACCTGTATATCATTAACATATATGTTACAACATTAAGATTCATAATATATATATATTTTATATTTGAAAATATATGTTTACGATGGGTATTTTATATATGCTATACATTTATGTCTTCATATATGCAGAGGACGTATATATTTGATATATATATAACATACATGGCAACATCACTCTTGATATAGGGACATATGTCATATATTACAATTCTGAATTTATTCTAGAACGTTTGATTTACAGATGGAAAATGTACAGATCACATTTAAAATTTAAGATTTGTGCAAATTGATCGAACTCATAACCAGTTCTCAGGTAATGATTAAGTCGAAATGTGCCAGTACTGTGTTTTTGCACCAGCTCAGTTTTCCTGTTAGTGTCATTATATTCATTCAATATACTGTAAATATTCTCCCCTCTCATGCCATCGGTTTTAAACTGAAAGAGTCCATTTTTTTCAACTTTACCCTGTTGATTCGATATCAAATCAGTGAAAAGGGTGTAGTTGGCTTCATGGTGTTCACGTCTCTTCTAAAACACAGTATGAACACAATGTTGTCAAAACAAATGTAAAACATGAGGCCTGAAAACAAAAAGCTTTGTTATAGAGATTTGTTGGAGTGGAAATGACTGGACACCACAATGGCCATTATCAGGCTCATAGGCTTATGTTGCTCAGTGTTCCGTATAAACATTGATCACAGATGTATCATACACAGTTATTGTAACCCATATATCAGTGCATGTAGTACTGATGAATAACAGATCAATTCAAACCATGGCTTCTATCCTTCGGATTATTTTATTTCATTTGTCTGGATCTGGACTTCTTTACACGAGGGAAGATGTGAAAACAAGATATGTCCCAATTTAGCTGCCTCACCCTGCAAAGTCCACATTTCAAGACTAACTACATCAGAGCATTTGAATAACACCCTAACACCTCCTTTGAAGCCTCTCATAAAAAATGAAATCTGACATGAGGTCAAAAATAAGCCCCACTCTCTCTGTGTGGTCAGAATCAGCAGTTATCAGTGTGTTTGACTGCATCCTTATCATTTCATTACATCATGGAGAAGCTTTAACCTTGTTTTCACTTGACAGGAACTAGGCTTGGGCCAATATTTGATATTGCCGAATATCATGATATTTCACGCTATAGGCAATTTATTTCTTTATTTCTTTATTTTTTGCAGTTTTGCAGTTTTGCACAGTGTGCCCTGCTGCCGTGTCTTTTTAATGTACATCATACATTGGCATGTGACAAATAAAACTTTCAACAGCGGTTTAGTGGGAGCATCGTTTATACCTGAAACATAAAACACAACATAGAAACACAGAAACATAGAATATAATTATATATAATTTAAAAAGTACACCTGAAACATGAAATACAATTATATTATAATGTAGTTTTATTATTAACCCCTGAATAACCACTGGTGATAATATCATATATTGCGATATTTGGGCTGAACTTTATCATGATGTTCCTCTGTGGCAGCAGAATGCATTAGACACCAGCATTCAAACGCTGCTGCAGGTTAAATCGTGCCGTCTAAAATCTTTTAGGGCTGACAAATTTTAAAAGACTCACTGACATATAAACTGACATGAAGAAGCTCACTAGCCCAGCAACATTAAGGCTACAAACCACCCACAATGCAACACTCACAAGACATTTAATTTCCACTTTTCCAAACATAATTTCCAGAAAGAACAGTATTGTTTTACATTTTGGCGAGTAGAGTGACCTGTGTCTTGAACTGCGTAAAGGTTAAATCACTGCTTTGTTATATGAAACACATTAATAGCAAAACTGAAATCAGCATATTGCTACTGCAACTTTAATGTCTTTACAGTGAGACTTTTAAATTTACCTCAGTATCATTTCATCACCAGAGAAACTTTCTTTTTCATGTCCTAGTCCTTTTCATATTTCGCCTGGCCTCAAACAGGAACCAGGCACACGTCGCTTCTCACAATTGGTAGCAGTTAACTTCATTTTAGCTCCGTATGCACAAGCAATGAGTAAGCAGTTAGATGTGGTGGGGCTAATAAGAAAGCGCACCTTTTGCTAACGAAGGGTAATTTCTGCCGTCTTTCCTCTTGCTTTTTCTAAATAGCCCGTTTTAACCCTTTAACTCAAACCCAGCAGGAAGACCTCAAAGAGTCTGAAATCACTGTGGTCCGACCCTGATCTGCCCACAACCGCTTAACTCCTCACAGCCTGCTCCCATTTCAGTGTCTACAAGAACTTCATGAGCCCAGTTCACATTGAATAGTTGAATCAAAATGAGAAGGGTTTGTAATAATTGATTTAACTCCTGTTCAAATGAAGGTTTGAGGATTAAAAGGTAAAAATTAGGAAAAATATATTGTACATACAATATATTGTTCAAAATGAGTTTTATTGAAAATGTAAATTGCGTTTTGTTGTTTAGTCCTAGATTAATCTGATCCAACCCTACCCAAACCATCAGTGATTTTAACAACTTCAACTAACCTGTGCAAATATTTTTCACAATACATGAACTATATTTCTCCAGAGCGTACTGGACTTCAGGCTTTTCATGTCATACCAATAAATCCCATTTGAAATTAATTAACTTCAGGGAGAGGAGACGTAACCAAAATAGCTTCCAGAGATGATCCAAAAACAGCTCCTGCAGTGGTGGGACCCTCTCACTAAGTCTCAGATTGTTAGTTTAGTCTAAACATAGTAGTGTGGTAAAATGTAATCTTCCTGCCTTCATCATAAAGACCTTCTAAACAGCAGTGGCAGTGCCCACCGTGACTAACTATACCACCGAACTCTGTGGGCGACAGCGAGCTCCTGGGTGCTGCTTCACATCCTGCTAAAAATAGGACAGTTTAAATATGTAAACTAGTTAACATAATTGATGCAGTGAGTTTGGTGATTTCCTTATTTTTTCTCCAAGTCAACGAATCCCACATGGAGACCCGAGCGAACACTGAATGTCTCCTAATAACAAGAATTGTGTTTGTATCACAGCCTGATATATCCTCTTCCTCTCAGCCAAAGAGCTCCATTGTTTCCAAAAACTATTTAAAAACACTTGAGTGAGTCTCCCTGTTGCACTGGGTGACATGTTCCTGCATCACCACTAATACACACTGTAGTTTATTTAGACTCAGTCCCACACACACCGTCCTGCTGCCATAAATACTGAGTAGAGAACCAAATGTGGATCAATCCGCCACTAAATATAGACCCCAAAAATGTGTTATTTCCTCCTGTTTATTTGATAAACACTACAGTGATTAGCTGTTTTCAAACTGAATTAAAATATACACTTGTGATGTGTTTTTAAAGATTTACGTCTTCAGGAGGAACCAGTGGGCTTGAAGCTGAGAGCCACAGACAGAGGAGGGAAGGCAGAAAGTGTTGAGAGAAGGACTAATGCATTGTTGGATTTCTTTATTTTTTCTTTTATGGTATTTTTTTGACACTAACAAAAATATAAAGTAACACCGGACTTGTACTTTAAGGGAAGTCCTTTTGTGATGGGCACAGTTCAGAAAATGAACTAGCTGACTAACTAGATAACTAACTGAAACGGTTGAAAGTGTTAAACTACTCAGTTCTTCAGTGTAAATGTTATTGTTGAAATCAGATTTTCATGCATATTTTTAAATTACAGATATGTTTTTTGTAGATTTTCATTCTCACAAGTATAAACATACATTGAAATCAGTGAGGAGCTTTATTCTCAGTCACAGATGGATGTCTCCATAACATCCAAAGAGGCTGTGATCCAAACTAAAGACAAGCTAATGAACAACAGCAAGCCTCTTCAACAATGAAAATCACCTTTGGTTAACTCAAACAAATACAGTTTACATAACTTCTGCCATTTGGTGGACACATTTATCCAAGATAACATCCAGCCAGACAACATAAAACATGTTATTTTATTGGCATGAACATCATTTGTGAGAGCCAAACTCTGACAGTGTTATAATATATCTAAATACTATGAACCAGTTTCTCTGATCCTGATGTTAGAATCAGAATCAGGAACATCAGATCAAAGAAATCTGTATACACATAAATACACATGGAATGAAAACATATATACACACATAATATTAAAAGAAAAAATTATACAGCACATAGTACATACACAGTCCGCAATTGCCAGAGTACTAATTCCTTATTGCATGTTTTAGCTCATTTACATGTATGATGTGGCGTTTTATCACATAGTTCATATGAACATTGTTCATAGTTCAGTTCAGTGTTTTAATTTGCCATGTGATCGTATCTTATCTATGGATACTTTCATTTTTATAGATGTCCCTGAGAGGTCAACACACTGCAACTTAAGAAAACACATGCAAATAGACAAAACACATACAAATTCAGAAAATACCTTCATCAATTCGACAACACATGAGCTGCAAATACTCACATACAACGGAAATGTCTCCAAGGGACACTAAAAAGAGATGAACCTGGCTGGGACGCACTTGTTTTGACTCTTGAAGTCAAAGGCATTGAACAACAAGTGCACATGGATGTATTATAACACATCCGTGCAAGTGCATCTCAGCCGGCTTCATCACTTTTTTGTGTTGTGTTGTCAGAGTGATGAGGTTGTTTCTTGTGTTTTGTCTGCTTGCATGTGTTTTCTTAACTTGCAGTGCTACCGTAAGAAAACACTGTTCAACAATCCCACAAGTTCTTAGTTTGTAGCAAACGTCTGCATGAAAGCAGCTTAAATGGACATTTCTTAATAACAATGCATGAAATGACACTGTAGTGGAGCATTTAGCCATTTAGCTGCTAAAGATATTTCCCTCAGGAGGTCTTTGTGGTGGAGACCAAAAACAGAGCTAAAACAGAGTGAATATTGGATTAACATTCATCTGGTGGACACAAACACCTGTTGAGGTGTTCACAAGTTTACAAAACATCTCACCAAAGATGTGCAGGTAATGTCTGTGTACTGTTAACCGTGGTAACCTGAATAATTGCTGCCGTGTGCAGAAGAAGTTTTAAAACGTTAGGACCACTGGAACATAGAATTGTCCAGTATCAGCGCTGTTGTTTGGCTGTAGTCATACATAAGTAAATACAGCTCTGAATGAAGGTATAGAGAATAGAAGAATTCAACAGGATTTTGGTCCAGTGGAGCCATAACTCATGAAGTTGCAGTTCAAAAGTTCAGATCACTTAGATTTATTCATCCCTTTAACTGCAGGGAGAAGCTCGCTGAGCCCCTGACAAAGACGTAAAGACATAAAGGTGGAAGTGAAGCCAACAGGGTGTATGAAACCCTCACAAAGGTCAAGCAACTGTAGAGACGAAAGTGAATTATATTTTTTATTAATTAGCATCAGGAGCTGGGAGAGGGTCGATGGAGGGAGGCTTGGAGATGAAAGGGTCACAACTGACCACAGAGTGGAAATGAGATCCAGATGTGTTGCCATTTGATTTTTAAAAAAAAAAAAAAAAAAAGAAAAAAAAAAGCACAAAGTGTCTCAGCATTGTGATCACTATGAATGATTTGTCACAGCTTGACAGAAAACTTAATTCAGTCCAACTGCTCACTCCAGAAATCTGAGTTCAAATATGTGACACAAATGATGTATTTCACAAACAATAAAGCAGAAACCTCAGTTCTATTTTAAGGCATACCCCTTGTTTTGACATAAACGTAGTGCTGTTAAGCCACTGGCATCTGCTGGCAGTTCTCTCCTCTCCACCAATGCTCCAGCCGTGGATCCCCCCCTATAACCTGAAGCCAGTTGCGGGCCGTCATGGCAGTCAGACTGGCACCAGATGGATCCGCGGCGGGATGATTCACTGCAGCTACAGAGTAGTGAAAGAAGCTCGTCTGGCATGTTGGTAGTGAGCGTACTGAAGCAGTGAAATATGGGAAACACAATAAGGTGTTCCAGATATGGCTAACACAGATCAGACTTGCACTAATACACGCTTAACCAGACAATAAATCGCCTCAGTTATTCTTAGCCTGTAGTGACGCTATCATCCATTAGTGCATCTGAAGGATTGCTGGGAAATTTAACACAACATTAACCTGAATCAGGACTCAACAAAATGTAACCAAATGTAAGACAATATATTTTTCTGTTTGAAAAGAGAGGCTTGTCTTATATTCAAGGACTAGATTACACAGCAGATAGAGTGCCACTGTAACACAGTCTCCTACCGAGTGTTGCATCATGGGTTGTTTGCAGGCTTAATGTTGCTTGGCTAACAAACGTTTCCAGTCTGTTTACAGTATAGTTTATACAGTCTTTCGGAGTCAGTCAGCTCTGAAAGTGTTTGGTTTGTTTAGTTTAACCTGCGGGAGTTTCTGAGGCTGGTGTAACGTGTTCTGCTGCCGCAGAGGAAATAAATTTGTGATGAGTGTCTTTACTGGAGAAAATAAACCAGGGACAAAATCTGTCAAATGGCCAAGAATTACAGCTGTTACAGATGATGAACTCAGTAAGACTGAAGCCTGAAAAAAATTGGAGAAAAGGATTGTGACGCTTCAACAGTCTGACAGCAGAAAGCGTCTGTGACAGAGATAAGATACACTAACTAGTTTTAGGTATTGTTGTATTTTCTGTATCATTTATATGAGAGAAAAAGCTTCAGTGATGAGGACTCTCAGGGAACCTTTGCCAACAAGATGAGGGTAAGACTTCCCTCTCAAAAACACATGTTGGAAACAGACAGGTGTCATCGGACAGTGTAATCAGAAGGTTTCTATATTTGGGTCAATATGGTACTGGTCACTTTTCTTACCGTGCAACGATTCTCACTGTGATCTTTGACAGCAGGTCTTCCGCTGACAGCTACCGAGTAGCTCTGTGCAGGCTCGCGCTTTAACTACATTATGCTGGTTTTTTTTAGCACTGTCTGTCAACTTTAGATTGTCAATAGGTGTGAATGTGAGTTCAGAAGTTACCTGTCAGCTGTGAAAAGTCAGATGACCTGTCCAGGGCGTACTCAACCTCTTACCCAGTTTCAGCTGGGATAGGCTGGAGTCCTCCATGAGGATCGATGGTGTCTTCATACACTGGTGTAGTTCAGAAAAAATGATATTTGTCAGGTATAATTAAAATTGGGAAAAGTTCAACAGCCATCAACTCATCAAGAGGCAAAGAAAATATACCAGGAGTTGCTTTTTCTTCAGTTTTTACGTTCTGAACTCCAAACTGACACAGTTGTTAGATTTCTAGAAACTCTCCAGAATCATTGGAAATGTAAGTTGAAGTTGAGGGAAGTAAAAACAATGAATTAATCTCAAAGTGACTCAAAGAAGTCCAGGGTCAAGACTGTTTTAAGTTCTCATACCCCAACTTCTCCAAGTGATATAAAATACCAACATTCTAGTCATGAGAAAAACACAACATCCGCTAAACATCACAATGTCATATAGCGAATGTTGGGTTTTAACATCAACCCGATTTTCATTTGCAACATCTGCCCAACGTCATGAGAGTCCACCGTCTTTCTGATACATGATGACATTGACATCCGGTGCCTGCTGGGATAGGTCAAAGTTGAGGCAGGAAGTGGGTCTGTAAACTGTGATGGATGCTACAAGAGACAGTTTGGATAATCATTGAACTGTTCACTTTTGTCTTCACTCGTTTACCAGCTGATTGTCTGACTGCTGATGTCATTGAAAAGAAACGATGGCAAAAAAATTCCACAGAGCTTCCACAAGGACAAATTAAAATCTTGACCTAATGATGGCGCTAGAAGACAATGATAGAAGTCAGATGGGTCGCTGAATTCATTACAGTTCATCCTGAGGAGAACATGAATATCTGAAAAAAGTTCCGCGACGATCCATCCAATAGTTGTTGAGACATTTCTAGCCTCTGGGTCAAAAGGGCGGCTGCTACAACTGTAAGCAGTAATTATCTACACAACAAGAGTCCACTTCAATGAACCACACAATCTCATGAACATCAGCTGACACGCTCATCACACTACGATCACATCATACAAACAGAAGCAATCAAGGGAATAAGACCTAAACTACTCTTTCAACATCAACTCTGTCTTCCAGCCACGTTGTTCCTTATGGATTTGGATCGCTGCGACTCAGGAGGGACCTCGGCCGCTGCATCTGCACGGACACACAGGACACAGAGTGTGTGAGCTTCTGCTCTCTCCGGACACAAACAGAGTAAGGACACATGCACATAGATTAAGATTAATATACGTGCTCAGAGCAGTTTCTCTTACAATACTCATAATGTTTCTCATCCTGTTTGTCTTTTACCACAGAGGGGAAAGCGTTGTGGTGAAGAGGAAGACTGACAAACAACTGAAGAGATACAGAGCTGCATTCTGGGAAAAAAGGAGCCGACATGCACTCAAACACCAGACCTGAGAGAGATGAGGCGCCACAGTAACACCAGCTCTTCTGAAAGGAAGTCCTCTATGTATCAGAAATAACAAACATGGACCCTTTTGTTTGTCTGGCTGCCCTGATGGCAATCTCTCAAAGGTTTTTCCTGCAGCCAAGCTAAAGAACAGTAAAATACTGACCACACAGAAGAGCATTTGCAGAGTCTTGAAACTTGTTTGATAAAGGCGATCACAGCAAACAATTACAATGTTAAATTTATCTATTTTTATGCAATGGTGATGGACTGTTTTAAATCTCTGTGTTCACATACAACAGGCTCTGACAGGAGATTTGAGAGAGGGCTGCCAAAAAGCATTGCAAAGACACTGTATGTCCTCTATGACTGAATATTAAGGCCACTAGTAGGAAAAAAGATTTCAAGAATAACTTTCAGAAATAAAGTCATATAATATAATTTCTTACCACTGTATGAGAGAGGGTCATAAAACTCTATTGTGAAATAAGGTTGTCATTTTACAAGAAAAAGTCACAATATTCTATGACATCATGAGAATGAAATGATGAGTCAAGATGTGTTGTATGTTATAATTAGACCAGATTACATGTTTAGCATTTCTTAAAACACTGAGTCATTGATCTGTACCACGGTTAAATTGCTTTATTTTCCAAAAATTACAGCTTTTCCTAAAATTATTTGTAATCAATATTAATACTGGTATTTTAAAATTACAATTTAATTAATGAAATATTACGATTATTTAGAAAAATTATAGCCCCATCTTGAGATATAATGTATGTTTTAAAGTTTATTCTTGCGATGATACAAACTTTGTCCAAGTACTTGCAACTGTATCTTTTTTCTCAAAACAGTGCAACCTTCTCTTTAAAAGAATATCTTGACTTTATTCCTGAAATCTTAATTTATTTTATTGTGGCCTCTCATCATCCACTAGGTCCAACAAAGAATAAGCTGTTAAACATTGTGACGAGTACAATGTGAATTAAGTGGTCTCTTGCATTGAGAGGTTGCAGTGCTGTTGCAATGAACTGTTCACTGTAATGATCACCTGACGCAGTGTAGCTGTGTCCCAAATCCATACTGCTCACTAGTTCTCTTCAGTTAAAGCAGTTGACATACAAAAATGTTCACACTCAAACTAACAGGAAATTACAGGAAACAGATAATGCAACAAAATGTGCGACTTCATTACTCAGTCAAACTGCAACTTGAACAGAGACATCAAACTCTTTTTGTTACTATTAAGTCTGTTTGTTTTTTGGTTTTTTTTTGTTTGTTTTTTTGCAAGATTTGAAGATTCTTTGGAGCTGTTTCACCACCCTCCATTTATTTGATTTTTATTATTTATATGAACACACTTTATTGTTAAAACCTGCTCAGGATCAGTGTGACGTATGGAATTAGGACACAGTGCTCGTTTCATGTCTGCAAGCTTCACAGTGTATTGAAATGTGCTCAGCATACGGTAATAGCTTTAGAAGGTGGCTGTAAAATATAATATGAAGTATACATCATGAAGATAATTATATATCTGTCTAAATTTTACAGAAAATGTCTTGTTTTTGGACGATTTTTTTTTATTTTCACGTGAATGCATGCAACAGCACCGCAGTATCGGTGCAGGTCAGTCAGCAGCTAAGTGTTTGCTGTCAGTGTTTATTTACACCTGTTAGCACCTTCACTTGTTCCTCCAGCATGTCAAAGTGTCCGTGAACGTGACACAAAGAGATGTGGGACTGTTAAACAAATGTTAATTTTTCCCTCCACTGAAGTATACTCACAGTGAATAGTTCTCTTCTACACGTATGACATATAATCAAAAACACATTTCTATACTCTGTACAGAATCAAGGCCATCATCATCATCATCATCACCACGTCCTGAGTAGTATACCTCAGTCTGTCCTTAGGAGCAGGGAGTGGCCGGTTGGCGACCTGGCCTTTGGGCCAGAGGTGACAGGGACTGATGGCACTGATCACTGTGGGAGCTGTGTGTGGAAAAGGAACCAGATAACCAGTCTGCAGGCCAGTATACCAGTATACAGCCCCTTTACACCCGCCATAAAACCACCACGGTACACTGGGCTCCCTCTCACTTTCTTAGCAGTAAAAAAGAGAATACGTAGTTTCCTCTGGCATAAACAAAAAGGTAAGACTTAAGTAAAAAGAAAGGGCTGATGGTTAAAACCTGAGCTGAAACTTTATCTAGTTCACTTGACCCCTAACCCATTCCTGATGAAGAAATATTAAAGGAACAGTTCATCACTGTGAGAAATTTACAAATTTGGATTGATTTCTTAACATGCATATCTGTGTGTTAAGAGATAGGACATGGTTAGCATAGCTTAGCATAAAGACTGGAAGCAGGTGGGGAAACAATTTGCCAAGCTCAGTCCAAAACTAAAAAATACACCTACTAACACTACACACAAACATTCAAGTTGTGCTTGTGAGACCAAAAAAACTTCTGACATCGACCTCTGACCTTCAGAATAAAAGGGCTGGGTTTAGGTAGTCTTAAAACTCCATATTTTCCTCTTCTCCTGTGTTGATCCATAAGAAAATATATTGGTGGTTTTAAGAACCAAAAACCATCTCAATGTAGTTTCACATCTCCTCTCTCAGGCTTCTCTCTGGAGCTCTAGTAACAACAGGTCAGTGAGCCAATCAGAAGAGAGGAGGCTCTGAGTCTCTCTTCTGATTGGCTGACTGTTTTCTGAGTGATCCATTAAAAATATAGCAGATTTCAGGTAAACACTCAGAGAAACCAAATGCTGTAAGGTTGGATGGTGGGTCCAGGCTTGGGACACGGCTGAGAGCAGTGACTACTTCATTGTGACATCACAAAGTTCCAGAAGTCCTGACGGCTGGTTTTAAGGCTCAGTTTCTGAATACAGGCTGTGTGCATTTCTCTGTGGACTGAGGCTTTGATACTTTCACAGTATTAATATAGAACCTAGACCTGATCTATAATCAAACAACACATGGACAGAGACCTTTAGACTATATGGGAACTTTAAGGTGACAATAAGACTGAATTAATGATCAGTGTCAGAAAAACAAACTATAATCTGTAAAGTGCACATAATGGACAAACAGCCACTCAGAGCAGAGTATATATTAGACAAGCCTGCAAGGCTTACTTAATTATTAATACATAATTTATGAGAGAATAAAAAACCAAGAGATGTATTTTCACAGGTTTTGTATATTAACTAACAGGCTCACTTTCAGTTTAAGAACAGACTATAAGTTATTGGCCTAAGCTTTCATATCAACTAAGGATTACATTCACCTTTGACAGCTGTGCACCTCATGTTTTACGTCCAACGTTCAGACTGAAAGAGAAGTGAATCCTTGATGTAGAACAGCTCAAAGTGAGGGTGTGGAGATGGTGGTGATGAATGGGAACTCCTGTCTGTCATGCTGGTGTTAGAGACCTGCTGGGGTAGGCAGAAATTGAAAATACATCCACTCCCCTGCCGCTCTCGCTTCACACGCACACAACCCAGCTGCAGCCGTGACCCTTTAGCTACATTTAGCAGAAGGCTAAACTATTAGCAACATTCGACACAGCCACTCATCGCCTGCTTTTATGTTAAATCTACTTTTACAACCAACAACTGCAAAACATTTAGATATCCCAGGGGAATGGAGTTGGCAGCCTGTTACCTGACCAGGAGGCGTGCAGCAAGTGCTCTCTGTACCGAGATACTGACGTGTAGGAAAACTCACTCTCTCTCTGAAGATCTGTGATTGGCCAAACTCTCCGATCACTGGCTAGATTTTCTGAAGTCTGAAAACGGAACCAAAAGAATGTGTAGACGTCTGGTCTGCTCTCAGACACCTTGAATTACAATATACTGAACGATGATTATGGAATTTTTCCCATTGATGTAAAAAAAAATGACTGCCCACCCCAAATGTAACATTTAACTTACACATCCAGTCAAAAGTTTAATAGTCATTACCTAAATTTACAGTGTGGCGTCTCAGTGTACTTTGAAATAAAATAAAAAAGTCACTGAATGTAAGCGGGTTTTGACAGTCAAATACTGCAAAGCATTACTCTAAAATCTTTCAAATCAAAAATCAAAAGAAGTTTTGTTTTTTTTTCAGAATTATAATTCTCCATTTTGATTCTTAATGTCAGCTGCTTATTAAACCGTGCAATGCAGTTTAGCAGTCTGTTTACACAGTTTATTTATACATTCACTCAGTTTATTGATGCATGCTCTTGTATTTTCATGCCGATATTTACAGTATTTCTACCATATGACCCCTGGCAGGTTCTGTACCCCTGCGTGCTGCCTGTGCTAAATATAAAATACTATCAAGGGCTGAATATAATTCTATGCAAATACCTTATAGACAAAAATCTAAATTGTAAGGAACAAAAAATAAATAACTGTCCCCAATACTTGCCCTCATTATAGAACAGTTATCCTGCTGTTCTCCTGCAGCTTATCAACAACTCATCAGTCAACAGTTACATGATGCTCAGTTGATCTCCATAAAGAGATTGTTTTTCTCCACGGGGAGATCAGAGGTCGCATCGAGCTGACCGGGCTTCAGTATCACTGCTGAAGGATAACGTCAGGGGTGTTGAAAGCCTTTAAAGGCTGGAGTGTTGGTTGAAAAATGGCCTGTTATTTAATAATACACCATCACACTGGGTTATTTTGAAGCCATGAGCTCAGAGTCACTCAGTAAAAATTTTTAACACCATCAGTCGGACACGTTCCGAGTTCATTCATGCTGTTTTGTATTACACTGCACTCACACAAAGATGGAAAACGACGAACTTCAACAAAGCTTTGTCCAAACTTGGAGTGGTTTAAAATGGCGCCAAGTGAAAACTGTCAGAGAGGTTTGCTCCTGAATGAAGCAGTAAAACGTCTTCGATTACATACACAGGAGTTTCCCTCCGAAAAGACGTCTCCACCTGCTGAGATAAACAGTGATTGATGTCACATAATAATCAACACATCATTCTGTTTTT